AGGACAGCAATTGCTCCGCAGGGTCGAATCTCAAATCAACGTCAGTTATCTTCGTAGGGCCTCCGCGGAGTCCTCTTCACTGGTGTCCCCATGTTGGTTACACAACTCTAGCAAGCTCCATTGGTCGCCTGGCTACAGCTCCTCTTGCTCACTCATCTTCGTCACGAGCATACACACAACCAATTCTGATCATGCTATAGCATCAAATTGCTTAGACTTTTATCCTTCCGACGGGTTTCGAGACAGATTGGGAGTCGGATCATAACAATTCAATGAAAATGCAGTAGGACTCAAAGAGGAAAAATCGTGAAATGGTGGAATGAGTGCAAAAGTCCCGAACGAGAGACGGGATGCCAGATGTCACAAAGAAAGTGTCGCAAATGACGCAAAATGGTCACGGCCTGTGGGTTTGCGCTTAGACCAATCATCTTCGTGTGACGACGAAAAGAGGGATAGTCTCTTCTATTGGGATTTAATCGGTTTCTTCAAAAAACCCGGCGTGGCCCGAGTCGTGGGAGTGTGAGTTTAGAGGTGAACTCGGTTCAGCTGTCCTGTAGGCATGGCGACCACGGCAAGGCATGCTTGCCTCAAGACCATTTTTATACCGACGGACAACCGCGTAGTTGTCACTAACCTCGACAGGACGATGCCATTGTGTCCATCTGCCCGCCAACCGGTACACTCACGATTCGAGTCCCGCTGGTGCGGCTGAGGACCTCTTTTATAGTGGCCCGGAGAGGGCTCGGCGTCATGGATACAACCAGAATAGACTTACTGTGCGAACATCGCGGAGACGACTCGGAGAGGCCGTGTTTACCGGCCCTGGCCGGTGTGTCATGGGCGCCGGAGAAGGCTGTCATAGCAACAGGTGACCGAGTGTCAACGGTGACGAGGTCTTCTGATCGTGAGGATAGCGCAGATGTGGGTGCATCTGTAGCACATGCGCGAAGGATGGAATGGGATTCGCCGTCCCTCCAAGGCAGGGAGTTTGCGCTGACGGGAAAATAAGGCCTGATGAAAAAAGGAGACAAAAAATGTACCATTCCAAGGATAGATAGTATCAAGCAACGAAACTAAATCTTTTTAATCCATCCGTCAGAGCTCGAACTCGGGTCGGGTGAGGTTGCAGAGGCTGTAAAGCCAGATTGCCGTGGCCAGTCAGACTCCACTTGGCCATCCATTCAGTCCAAATAGGACTGCACTCTTAAGCCCGCCTCATTGGCTCATCCACGCATTCGGCGGGACTCGAACCGCGAACGCGTGGGCCAAGTGGCGGTTGCCTAGCCTCGGCAGGAAGACTCTCGAAAACGAGGTTAATAGAGAGAAGCCCGATGTGTGAGGCAATGTGGCCCAGGGACTGGAGAGTTCCCCTTTAAACCCACGTGTCCACGGCTCGAATTCCGTCTTGATTGGGGCCGAGAGGGCAAGGCGAACGCGTAGGAACTTTTTGCGACAATTTGGCTCCAGAGTACCGTGGCTAGAGGTTCTTGCAGAAGGATACAAAGATCAATCAGAAGAAATAGTATATCCCTACAGGCTTGCCTCCAATTAGAGTAAATGCAATAGTTTGGATAAGTTTTCTTGACTCGTTAGCTCGAATATGGTTGTAAGGATATCATCTGCCCTAATGATGTCCGTCCCATTATGACGGACGATAGCCTAACAAGTTTTTACCAGAATCAAAGGAGATTGTCTCGGAAACATCGTCGACAAGAATGTTCTATAAAAGCCAATT